ATGTAGGTTTAAGTTCTGATTTAATTTTTACCATCAACATGTGTAATGTACCCTACCCTATTTGAAGCGAATAAATGAATTATTATTATTATTATTATCGAGTAAATGCGCCAAGAGCAGAGGAGGATTTCCTGGTTCTTCCGGTGCTTCCCGTACTAGCTAGTTTAATTTTCAATGTTGATATATATATAAACAATAAAGTAGCAAGCAATAGTACTCGACGAATCAAGAAAGTGATACGTTTCAGATGTAAAAATGGCTAATTTTTTAGCTTTAATTCTGTTTATAACGAAATGTAGTTTTGTACTAACAAATTTCACAAACTATAATAATAGAAAATCATAGAAAACAATCTAATATATAATTATATAATAAATTCTTAAATTCCAAATGGAAATAAATTATCAGAACGTGAAAAATGTCTACATACCTACGTTAATTAGACAAAAGAAGAATTAACACTTTGAATTTAAGTTTTATGAAATATAAGATTTCGTAAAACTTAAATTCAAAGTGTTAATTCTTCTTTACTTATGTACTTATTCTGTACTTATGTACTTCTGTACTTATTTATTTTTTAGAGCTTTTGACTTTTTGTAATAAGTACCTCAAAACATGAGGCTATAATAGCGTCTAGACTTCTGTCACTTAAATATTTTGTTACGTATCAAACCAGCTGAGAGTAAAAATCTTGATGTCGATGAAATCGTTAGGAGATTGTCGTATCGCTGAGACAAATAACATCCACGATCTCCGATCTCAAAAAGGCCGTCTCGGCCCTCACAGTCGTACCTACAAAGATCTTCACTCTCGCCGCCGCCGGGATTTATCGTCGTTTATCGTTTATAGTTTATCGTTCACGAGTCTTTCACTTGCGTTTTTCACTTGCTTGCGTGTGCTGGACATACTACGCCGTGTATCCAGCAAACGCAAGCCAGTGAAAATCACAATCAAGAAGAAGCGAAAATCAATCACTGAGCAGCAGCGTCCACGCGTCCACTACTACCAAAACAAATGCAAGGCGCGGTGCATGCGCGCAAGTCTCTCTGTAACGCAAAGCGGAAGACTCTTGGACGCCTCAGGCTTGATTCATATCGCCGAGACGCAACGCAACGCAACGCGGCGCTACATTCAAACGAGGAATGCAACATTAACTTTATCATCTACAAAATAAGGCAACATTTCATAAAACAAGCAAATGAAAACAAAACTGTAGCAAGCGACGACGGGCAGCAGCGAGCTGCGGCGGGCGCACTTTATAAAATGCAGTATAGGTACTAGAATACCTGCAGTAGTGTTAACTGCATTGTTCCTATATCATTAATATGATATTATTATTAGATTATTTTTTATTTTTTCTCTGTTGTAGTTGTTGTACACATTTCAACATGAAATTCCTCTCCCGGTCCGTTTTTTTTCCTAAATCCGTTTATCAATATTCCTTATCATGCGAAAAGGTTTCCTTGTTTTTAAATGATGTTAATTAATATATTGTCATTGGCTTCAACGCTGACCGCGAAAGATCAAAAAAACAAAAAAAACCGCTACATTTTTCACCGAATAAATATGTTGTATTCTTGCTAACTCCATGCTTGTTTTGCTTACATACCATTTATTCTTAAATATTTGAAGTAATACACTTCCGGACACAATTCGAGCCACCACGCATTTTCAGTATTAAGTGCCATAAGCTTAAACAATGTTTGATTGATCAAAAACTATTAGGTATGCAATTTTGAAACTAGTATACTAACGTCTTTTTCATAAGTCCTTGTCGGGAATTTGGATTTGCAAAACTGGGGAAATCTTTTTATTCGATGATAAATTGATAACACTATATTTGTGTTGTAGTCCTTTACCAAAGAACAAATAAGTAACGAGAACGGACACTTTCCAGGGAGGGGCCTCCCTAGCTTTCCTTTACGACAAAAATGCGAGGTGGCTCGAATTATGTGTCCGGAAGTATACTTATTTAAAATTAATTTCCGTACCTGAGAAGCATTACATTTTGTGTCAAAATGCAGCATGTATAACATTTAGGATGCCATAAAAATAAAACTGATCTATTTTTAATAACAGTATGTTCTAATATTCAAAGTTTGGTAATAAGAGATCAAAGCTGTTTACATAATGAGATCAATTTCTTACTTTTAGCCATTGACTTACAATTATCTTTTAGCGATATTTATAACAATAACACGAAAAGACTAGTTCACATACCGTGTTCTGCTTTTAAACAAAAATCAAATAGAAAAAAGTTACCGTAATCTAATGTGACACCTCTTACAAATGAAAAAGAAATACAACATGAAAATGATGAATGATGATGAAATGACTGATACCGACAAAGGTTACATTAGTTAAAAAAATAAGTTTTTTTTGTTGCTAGAAAATTTTCGAAGAAGTTTCTATAATAGTTAAATATATTATTATATTTTAGTGTTATATATATTATATAGTATATTATATTTTAGTATTCTTAAATAGGACAATAATATTATTGATGATATTGAAACTGATATTTCGGAGTCACATGCGTGTACTATGTAAAATGATCTATCCCTTGTGAAGTTTTGGTTCAGGAGGCGTCCAGTCAAAATCGGAATCGTTATTATTTGTAGCATAAGGATCAGTGGGAGTGTCAACGAAATTTTCATTATCAAATAATTGAGATCTATTTTGCCCATATCTCTAAGAATTCTTTACCAATTCATTGTTCTCGTCTAGCTGTGTAGACAGCCCTCATATCTTTCTACATACATAAGTTTTGTTTATAGTGACCCTCATATCAACCTCTTGGTTATATGGGAAGGTATAACCTGTGCGAGCAAGCCCGCACAAAGGACCTTCTCAGACAGGTCTTGGCTCCAGATCAGCCCGTTTGCTCGGACTTTATCCGGTTCTCAAAAGGCTAGTGCCTTGGGTGAGCTGCCCCGGGTACACGTACATCACACTCTGGAAAATAGTCCCAGATAGGTACCGAAGCTGTAGGCATGCTCACTTAGTTGCGCAGTGCGCAGTGCGCAACTAACGGTTGCCACCGTTAAACCGTCGACTCTAACTACCAAATCTCTTCTTTAGTGGTGGACTTGTAGGCACGCTAATTTCTCGACGCCAAAGCGTCTCTGCAGTTCCCTTAAACCTACGCATCTGAAGGGATTGGAGGATGTCTAGCTTATCCTTTACTGGCTCTCCGGGCTAGTGCCCAAGATGCTGCGACAATGTCCGGACATAGCTTCCAAATTAAAGTGCAACTCACGTGACCCGCGCATCTCTTCGCCTTAGGCCCGAAGGTCTAACGGTCTAGACGAGTCTAGACCGCTACTAAAACGCAATAGCTGCGTGCGGGACAAACGTGTTCATCCCTGCAGCTAACCACAAACCCCGGCGAGTCTATACATAAGTCCGGGTCCACCGGAGAAGTGTGACCACCGGTGAAGGCGTATCACTGGCGGAGGGCTTGGCCCGGATACCCGCCGTACCTTGGTTTTGCCGAGGAACCCGTAGTCTCTCCGGAAATCCCTATCTGTCGGGTCAGTAGATAGAAACAGCACTCGCTGTGTAAACAGATTAACATCACTCGAATGAGAACCAATTTCTAGCTTTGACATGGAGATGTTTGCCGAGTTGTTTCACGGCCAATTTGTAACAAGCTGTTCTGTATATATTGTTTACAAAACCTGCTGATTGGATTGGCACAGAAACTTTTCATATTTAAACAGAATTTTTTCTTGAATTATTGTAAGGGTAGCGAGACTATCTAACCTCAAAGCGGGGATTTTGCGGTGTATTCCTTAATCAGGCACCGGCGAATCGTGGTCTATATACTATTATTTGTTTTCATTATCTTATAACATTATACTGTATCTGTACGAAAATTGAGCATAACACTGTTACTCCGAACTTACAATAAAATGTCGTAGTTGTGGGTAGCGGTCTTACATCAAAATACTTTTAAAGAACTCAGCACCTATGGCGAATTTCGTAGACACAGTTTTATGGGTCGATAGAGCTCGAAAAATTATGTATGATACCGTTAAAAACTCAAAATCGTAAAAAATGGAGTTACAGTTAAGCTTCTCTGGTACAGATTTAGTCATAAGTAGGTGTATGTACCTTTAAAACGTAAACTATTTGTATAAAAGTGTATTAAGCTGTTTTTCGTTTTCGTGCAAAATATAATGTGGTAGTTCACTTTGCACCAGTCAACAATGACTACAAATCACGTTTATTCGAAGTATTTATAACCTGTTTCCAAAATTATTATGAAGGTCATAGATAGAGTGTTTCATAGTGGGAATTCGAGTAGACGATTGTTAATTAATCTCTATACCACCTGTACTGTCGTCGAGGAGATGTACAACAAAGATGTTTAATGTACATCAAATCTGTCCAAGTGGCTCCCTTAAGCTACCTACTTACCAGTCACGGAAGAACAAAAAGTGTCACGGAAGAAAAAAGTGTCACGGAAGAAAAATGTCACGGAAGAAAGAAAGTGTCACGGAAGAAAGAAAAGTCTGTTCTATGCTACCAGTAACTACCTACAAAAAACGTCTATTAAGACCTTGGACCATAGATCATCCTTGGACTACTTATTTTTATGTTTAACGTCATTGCGATTTGCAGGAAACCTGAGAATTTGCAAAACATTAGTCACATTATGGCAACCTTATTTTGACACTGTCAGTCATTGTGATCTGTTTCATTCATTCAATACTCGAAGAGCACAATTTATACATTTTTTAGAGCTTAGCGAAAATTTTTTTTTGTTTCGTTTTTTTTCTTTCAACTGTGACATTGGCAAAATCATCAGTTCTCATATTGATGGGGCCATAAAAATAAAAAGTGAAGTGAAGTAGGAATGTTATCTCGAATCTCGAGATAATGTTACAATTAATATTAAGTAAATATACATAGATAGTATTGTGTGGAATAAAAATTAGTTTCCAATAATTTGCTTCAATTCGTAAAAAAGACAGTCTTTCTTCGTTGGTGTACAAAAATGGTAAATTTAATCAAAACAATGTTTATACACAATAGATAAATTGGCTAAAGTGTCTATAGTCACGTTTCAATTTTGGCTACTTCCTTTATCGAATGTTCTCAATCGAACTATTCATGTAGATATTAGGAAATAACAAATTATCAAATCATCACGCAACAAATTTCACCTGAATGAATGCTTGAGTTTCTTGATTGCGTCAGAATAATTAATATTATAATTACAATAATTATATGTAGGAGCTTCTCTTGTTATTATAATTGAAACATTCTATTCTATTCTTCACTAGTATAATACCTACTAAGACAATGTATTCTGCCTAATACAGCATGGCCGTGTTAAAGTTCGTACTTCCGAGGAGGAGAAAGCCCGAAAAGAACGAGAGAGACAAGAGAAACTTAAAACATTCAAATATGCTATGAACAAGATTCAAAAAAAGGTACATAATGTTATATAAAAATTATTCAGTTTCATAATGATAAAGCTTTATGATAAGTAAATTTTCCACTTATTAACTTTCTAGTATTTAAATTTTTATAATAAGTTTTGTCTAGTATTATTTCTTGTAAGTGCTTTGTAAATACTTACCATGAAATAAAAGATTTTACTTGGTGTTTTACAACGATCACTTTTGTAAAAATGTAGAGCTTAGCACTCGCATCAAGCGCCTGACAAATAGCGATGTGGCAGGTAGATATGGTATTAGAAGAGAGCTCTACAAGTCATGTGTCTGTAAGCCTTACAGAACTTTGATTATTATTAGAATAATTTTTTAGAGGAAAGAAGGTGAATTGGATAAGGAACTTCTGGAACTCACAGCGAAAGTGTTGTCTTCAAATCCAGACATTTATACCCTGTGGAATGTAAGAAGGGAAATATTAACTGCATTCAGGTTTGTTTCACGTTTTTCTTGTAAAATTTTTCAATGATTTAATATTAATATTGAATTCTTAAGTTTTCATGATTGTTACACATAGGAAATTAAACTAGATCTGAAAAAATTGTTTAATTTCCTATTTAGTGTTATTATTTTTAATGCACACGTTAAACAAACTATGCTTTTCCGGTAACTCATATGTATTGAGATGACTGCCATACAATTGAAATATTAATTTTATTTACACATACATTAAATTCAGGTTTTAGCCATTGTTATATTTGTGTGCTTGTTCAAACAATTTATTACTGTAATATTTCCATTTGTATTCCAGGAAATATGAATGTGATATAAATGATGAGTTGCAAGCAGAAATGTCAAATCTATATGATGCAGAACTTCAATTAACCGAGTACTGTTTGAAGATGAATCCAAAGTCTTATAGTGCATGGCATCAAAGAAAATGGATTCTTACTACACGGCCTGATCCAGACTGGCAACAAGAGTTGAGTGTTTGTAACAAATATTTGAAGTTAGATGAAAGAAATTGTAAGTAGCAATTGTCCATTCAAAAGTACATTTTTCAGTCTAACACACAGAAATCTAAATAAGTAGGCACTAGAAGTGTAAACAATGTCTATTTATTTAAAAATGGGTAACGCCACATAGTTGTCTATGGTCGACACTTGACATTACATTTTTCGTCAATGTTATGGATGACGCTTGGTTGATGATTAAGATACAAGTCTTTGCTTTAATAATAAGGTTTATTTTATCGATCCAAATGTATCATAAAATATTTACTTATTGTTGTAGGGCTAAAGTCATCTTCATCAAAATTTATTGCACAAATTTGACTGTAGCTTGTAAGTAACCAGTTCCTTTTGTCTTTAATTTTTTTTTTTTATAATATCAAGTGACGGGACGATCAAATCGTGCGCCTGATGGTAAGCTATACGCCTGTCCATAACAGTTGCAGTGCCACTCAGAGCTTTAAATCGCAAAGATCTGAGGGGCACTGCCACTGCGCCCGTCACCCTGAGACATAAGTTGACAAGTCCCATGTGCCTGTAATTTCACCAGTACTCTTACCCTTCAAAACCGGAACACAGTAATGGTGACATTACTGCTTGGCGGGAGAAATAGGTAAGGTGGCAGTACGTCCCTGGATGAACTCTTTCACAAGGAGCGCTACTGCTACTAAAATCTATATATCGTATATTCAGTTGTCTTTAGCATCGACACATTTGGGGGAACTAAAAACAAAAAATATTTATACACATTTCCCTGTCGTTGTATTAAAAATACGTATGAAACGTGAATTATGTAATTCACTTCAACTTTGACACCTGTTTTGTTTCTTATAAACAACCTTTGTTCTTAAAAATTTTACTGGTAATTACAGCTTGTGGAAGAGTTTCCACAATTAGATATGCAGCTAAACACCATTTTTACACACTGTTTCACTTTAGAAGTTTTGAGCAATACTGAACTGAATGACAGTCCACACTTTGGCCGTAAGCGAGTGGCGGCTATGTCACCGTAGTAGATATGCGACTTCGATTGCCTAATTATTTAGTTTTCTGTGGTTTAAACAATAGTTACATACAAATATAGGTGTTTCGAAGTGACCCCTTGCTATCTGTTGATACCCTTCACCTTTTTTACAAAATTTACTAAAGATAGAATTCACTATACGATTATGGTCATTCGTTCGTACGGTTTATTCAAAAGCGGTAGGAAAGTTGATCTTTGTAACTACAAGCCTATTTAAATTCTACCAGCTTTAAGTAAAACATTCGAAAAGGTCATGTTGATTCAATTACTGTCTTATTTCGGTAGGAATCACAATTTTCATAGTGAACAATATGGGTTTACTAGTGGTAGATCGACTAATCGAAATTATTCTGTTCAATATTCTGGCTAATTGTATCTAGTAAAGTGTTTCAAAATTGTCTTGGAGTCATATGCACTACGCAAGGGCAGTGACCCCGCCACCCGCTTCACCGAGCGATACGTAATCTTTCTCGATCGCTTATTTACCAATTTTTTAATTATGATTATGTACTAGTATTGATATAATTTACTATTTATTTACATTACTAGAAAGACCTAGCTCCACAGCTGGTGGCTGGCTCCGTACCGGAGTTAAAGTTATAGGAGACTAGTATCATGACATCATATTACATTTGCTCAAATATTTTGTATGCCCGTAAAAATATACTTAATTTCATTATGGAAGAAGATATCCATAACATTAACCTTAGAACTAAGTCCAAACTCATGGTACCACGATTTCGTTTAACTAAGGTAAACGATTATTTTATGGGGAACTGTATACGTTTTACCAATAAGATTCCGGAAAATATATTAAGATGATCATTTTCTAAGTTTAAAACTTACATTAATAGTATTGTAATTGAAAAGTCATATTACAAAATTGAAGAGTATGTATTAGATAAAGATGCATGGAAAGACAACACACAAGATTCCACACAATTATTTTGATTCAAAGTGTATTCCATAGCATTTAAGTTTATTTGTAAAGTGCAATCCCTAGAGTTTCTTGCTCGTTCTTCTCAGTGTCAGAAGGTCAGCGTAGTGAGCGAGCAGTGGCTTAAAAAATTATGTTTTCAAGTGTAAAACTGTTACCTATGGAATAAATGATTATTTGAGTTTGACTCAAAGGCACTCGCACGCACTCAAGGGCAGTAGCACGCACGCCTTGATACCTCGTACATCTCTGGTGGCAGCCTAACTGAATCTTGGGTGTTACATTACAGGCGAATGCTCGTCAGTGAAGGAGGTAGTTTGTAATGTAATGCCCGAACACGAATCTTGAATGTTACATTACAGGCGAGTGTTCGCGGTGAGGGAGCGCCCTTACGTTCAATTGTAATATAATAATAATAATTTATTGAGCGATTCCTAATATCAAAATAGGTAAATAAAACTAAACAATTATAAATTAATTTTATATAGATAATATAAAAATAATTGTAAACCAAATGACCACTGACTTCCTATACTAGACAAAATCTGTATTATGGATGTCAGTCATCCTTCGTGACAGCTTACAAATATAGAAAAGTATGATA